TATAAAACAAAATCAAAATATATTTTAATGAAAATACATAAATAATTACAAATTAATGAAATTCAAATTATTTCATTATTTTAGACGCTTGATATAAATAATGATGGATTTATTGATAAATTTGATTGCCTTAAAGCTATTGTAGAAAAATTAAATATTAATGTTTATATTAATTCAATAGAATCTCATGTGAATTATATCAAGGATTTTGCTAAATTTACACTGATGATTATTAAAAAGAATTAATTTAAATAGAGATCATCCTCCACTTAATCTTTAGTAATTGAAATAAACATTAATGCATTTTGATGAATTATTAAATTAAATTAGTAAGATATCTTCCTAAGAATAGAGAATCTTTGATAAATGATTATGATTTCATTTCAATGTTTATAGATATTGATAAATAAATGAATTAAAAAGATACAGCAAAAGACCTGGTGATTTTGCATAAAAAATAAGTAAATATCTAACACAAAGAAAATATACAGGCATTTAATTTTTAATCTACAAAGTAAGGATATGGATCTTTTAATATTTATTCTAATCTTTATATCTTATCAAAATCTATTATATTATTATCCTTTCCTTAAATTCTATATACGTTGTTGTATACTTTAAAAGGATCTAATTAATACTCATAAATTCATTCATGCAAAATGTTTAAAATTCTTTCAACCAAATTATTATTTCATTTTATGATTCTTGGAAATTATTGACAAACAAAAACACTTAAGTATTTTTGTAAAAGCTTTTTCTTTCTTATGTTCTTTGCATTTTTATGAACTGAATAAAGATTTAATAGTTAATTGTCCATCGTAATTGTTATTTTGCTTTATAATATATATTAGCAATATACCTGATTGTGAGTAAAAATGGATATAATGGAAATTTTATAAGGAAAAAGGAGATTTTTTTTTAGAAACAAATGTATTATGAGTGATAACAGATAATATTTTATTACATAGAATAATAAATCAAATGAAATTTAAATAAGAAAATATAAGTATAATGAGAAATTATAATATATATATAGAATTTCTGCATTGCTTTTAATAATCTCCTTAGAGATTATTATTGTATAAGTTTCTTAATTTTTCGGTTTTATTTGTTTAATTACTTTGAGTTATTGTGTAAAGTACTTATTCAAATTTAATGATATTTGTTTTATGTTCAAGTGTATTACTCTTATACAATTCTATTTTCTGTGCAAATCCTTTATGAATCGTCAACTTTTATATCGTAATTCTGTTTAGTGCTTTAAAAATTTATAATGGGAGGGAAGAGTAAGAACAAAAACAATAGTTTTTATAAAAAATTTAAGAGCATGTTATTTTTATTTTATAGTTATCCAAGATTGTATAATTCTCTAATTTCTTGACCTAACCTCTTTTTATTCTCGTTTGCTAGAATCAATTAATCAAAGATTTAAATACCATCAATATACGGATATATAAAATTTATATTATTTTCTATATGACGAAGTACTTTGCAGTCTAATTTCCAACTATCTACACAAATAATTCTTTAGAGAAAGTAAATTTTAGTTATTTTTAAATCTTTTTTAAAACAGAGAGTGTAGTGGGCAAACCCAAACTTTCATCAAACTAGAAGCATTTTATGGAACCTTTTGATAAGCAGCAAATTAGATTCGCATTATTTGGCTTATATAGGGTGCTTTTTCTACTGTATAATTATGGTAATAGGCTAGGCTGCAGAATTGTAAGACCTGATAATGTTTAATATAATGGTTGCCATTAGAATTAGAAAGTAAGTTCAATGTAGCTATTTTTAGTGTTCTATAATTATTTTTTGTCTTATATGAGTAATCGTGAAA